CGCCGCACACTTCTCGTTTCTATACGGCAATAAAAAAAAACAGATGAAGAACGAGCGCGCTTTTCTTACGAAGGGGGGCAGACGACGTTCCTCCTTCGAGTGCTTTGATTTTTATACTCCACTTGTCATTGGCTATGCAAAAACATTTATGGATTTACGATGTTTGATTAATAACACCAACTTCCTTCCACTGTTCCTAATCCACAACTTTACGTACATAAACTATAATAACTATTTTATGAACTGTAAACAAAGGAAATAACAAATCAACAGTAGCGAGTCAACAAGAAAAAGAATAATCATTGCTTCTGAATAAATCTTCCATATAGATTTTGAGATAAAGCAGAAAAAGAAAAAAAAATCATTCACATATGGAGCTTATTTTTTTCTTCGAGGAAGAAGGAAACGTTTGTATAAACATATGTTATTTTTTTACACAATCTGAAAGTGTGCGTGTCGCAGAGGGATGATGAAAAACAATCTAAAAATACGTATTTCACTCAAAATTATATTGTATAATTTTAACATTGCAATTATAGGTATTTTCTAAAATCAACCGACAGCGTAAATAAATTAAATAGTTTTTGAAATTGTATACAAAATAATTGGTTAAAAAAATAATTTTGAAATTCGCTATTTGATGAATCTGTATCGTTTATTCGGTGCGTTAAAGGTTTTTAATTAGCAGCGTTAGTGCTCCGACCACGCGTTCAAATCACTTTCGATTTCGACATTTTCCCGTAAACCTAGACACGCTTCGAGTTTCGGAGCGCCCGATTTGCGCCATTGTGAAACGGGTTTTTCGGTCCGTGTTGATGTTTACGCTGAACGCCGTTTCGTATGTAAAAGGGTTGTTGTCGCAGGAAAGCAAAAAAAAAAGTAAAAACAAAACATATAGAGAGAAAAAAACGAGCGGTTGCGGAAAAGCAGAAATGGTAATGGTCACGGTCCGAAGTGAAACGTCGGCGACCATAAATAATCATAATAATAATGGTATCGGTGAGTGTGTGTGTTACGTGCTGCACGGTGTAATTATAAAAAATGTGAAAATATAAATTACGGCAGCAGGGCGGAAATGTGACGTCACGTGTTGGGTTGGGGGTTGCAGCGGATGCAGGCACATATGCCGCCACCGAGGATGGTTTCCGGTCACCTATGACCGTGAAACTCTAGAAGTTTTCCTGTGCCCGAAGCGTCCTCGGAATCGGGTGTAAATATTTGCTTGTTACCTGGTAATGGCCGATCCGACGACCGTCGAGGAACCAAATAGAAAGAGGTGGAGGAGGAGGAGGAGGTAGAATCGAATCGCGCGGGCCGTGGAGAGCAGTGCAGAAAACGAGACGACTGGAAACGGCGCGGTCCGCGCTTCAATTGTTTCGCAGCGGCAATTTTTAAATCTAGTACATTATATAATTTAACGATGAGAATACTTTTACAGAGGAAGTACCCAGTCGGATGCAAGTTCAACTCTGTTAGATTTAACAATCTATTTCCTAAATTAAACTCGACTACTTTAGGATTGTTTGTCGCCAGCGATTGCATCTGACACTCATTGGACTTGCGAGCAGACTTGGTCTTCTCTTCAATACTTCTTTGACCGTCGCTGTTTATTTACAGTCTCCATTTCACCTTTACTAAAACTCAACTGACCTCCATTCCCGTCCTTCCTCTCCTCGCAGATGCATTTCTCGAAACAACGGAATAAGAACATTCTCAATTGCGAATTGTGATTTGACCATCCTGTTTCAAGTGTACCGAGGAAGGCTGAATTAATAAATGCACTCATTGTCAAACAATTATCCAATTTATATTTTAATAGAAAACTTTCCTATCGGCATTCTAAACCAAATGTAATTATGAATGTTCACTTTAAAATAAAATTGCTTTTTTTTTTCAATATTCAGTTTAATTTTAATTTGAAATTTTAATATCTAAATATATTATGAACACAATATTTTGTACTTTTTTTTTGTTATTAATTAATTTTCATTCAAAAAATATTTATATTTTAATTTTGTATAACATATACATAACTAGAATATTCAATTATTGTAAAATATATAAAAATAATACTTATTGATATGTTTTTGTTCATAAATTTTGTATTTTATGTGGTCCTAACTTTTTATTTTGGTAAAACCCTTGAAATACTAGAGATTTATGCTTTTTTTTTATGTAGATTTTCAAGTGGCTTCCTATCTTTTTTTTTTGTGGTTTTCATTCATTCGCAGTGGAGATGTTTCGCAGATACCCCCAATGACTAAGATAGATAATAATGATGATGGATCGACGTTAATATCTGGTCCTTTATTTGGAATGGAGCGACCACCGTTCGTTCCTGTTTTAATAAAATGGAGTGCGTGCGTACAAATACTATTTTTGCATCCCTTGTAGTAAGAAGAGTAAGTAATCTAAGCTCGGGAGATTAAACTGGCCTGTGTATGGCAGGCTTCACTAACCTACGCACACACCACCACGGATCGTGGTGGATCGATAAGAATCCGAGTGCAATGATGACTCATGCGACACCCCCCTTGGCTCGTGCACCCTTAAACCCCTGTCTGCACGCACGTCGTCGAAAAAATCAATCCACGGACGCAAATATCAAATGTTGCCAAACCTAAAGATGCATGCATCCATCTTCCAGGACTTTAAAACTATCGACCGATGCAAAACGCTACTACAAATGAAGAAGAGAAGCATCACTCGTACCGGTCATCATACCTTGTTTAAATGAGAGATGATCACGTAGGCAGACGTAATTAGTTCTAATCATGAAGCGTGATTTTTCAATTTAGGCGTGAGTGCTAGTTGCAGTGCACACAAACGTCTGGGTGGTTGATTCGAGGGAAACAATAAACAAAAGAAAATAAAAATATGTCGAGAACAGAGGGAGAAGACCCCGGCAATAATTACAAAAACAAATAGGATCCATGCAGCGATACAGGCCGGTCCGAGCGAAAGAGAGAGGCTGGGGGAGTGTAATTTCAAAAATCAATATATTTGATACCAGTTGTCTGAGTCATACACTCTTTCTCTCTTCTCGTATGGCATTGTTGGTGTCTAATAGGAAGAAGGAATGGTTGAATTTATTAAACACAACGTTTGCAACAACATGCGACAGATGTGTCCTGGCTGGCACGAGCGGCCAACGAACACAACACTCGTGTTTATCTCATTCCAATTGTGATATTTCATCTGCCACAACGGACTCGGTGCCATCAGTACAGACACCTTTATACCTGACTCAATCAAGCCCATTCATTTCTCTTTTCGTCGATAAATATCGCAAACGTTAATCGTCCTCCAGATAACAAATACTTATATCCATCCACAAAAACATCCAAGCCATGATTCTACTAACATTGTTTTCGTCGTTACCAATTCTTCAACTTTCCAAACCAGAAAATATTAAAAAAAAAAACTAAAGGACAGCTGTATTGTACTCTCCGAATTCAATATCACTTTCTACTAGACGTTACACATAATTTATAATTAAAAGGAATCACCTTCCACCTTTTTTTTTATATATATATATAACGCTGTTTGTTCTTCTCTAGAAATGCGTTTCGCTATTATATTTATTTGCAGCGGACCAGTAGATTAGTACACGTCGTACGCTCCATTTTTTTCTGAGGGCACACAATAGGGCCCAGTGGGAACATTTCTATGGCCCGCTATAAGTAAACAGCTGGCAAAACTTTATTCTCTAAATGCAGCTGTTTGACTCGGCCATATACCTGGTAAAGCCACATTTATGGCATATGTTATACAGCAAAGTAGTTTTCGGTTACAAAAAATAAAATATATGAATGCGAGTATGTGAGAGCGTGTATACGAGTTGTAGATTATATGTTTTAAGCATAAGCGAAGCCGCAAACTTTTATTTTATACTGATTTTCTTCAGTTTTATTTTCATGTACACATTTTTTTTTAAATGCATTCCATTGCGAGAAGCACAGCAACCGGGAATATTTTTCAACCGCAGAGTTTCGCAGAATTTGAATCATTCAATTAAACAAAATTTATATATGTGATTCTAATTTGAAATTTTAAATACATAAACAACAATAAATTTAGTAATGATGTGTGTTTTAGTGTAAATATATTTCTGGAATAAATAAATCGGTTTCATTCAATGGATTGGTATTTGGGAATTTCGAAAATGCTATGATTAAAATGGAAAGCACATAGCGAATAATTTAATAACAGAGCTGTGTATGTGTGTGACGCGAAATCGATTTTGAATAGCGAAAGTGAAATATCTCGGGGCAACGACGAAAACTGTACATAGTTTTCGCGTATAATCCAATTTGAATATTAGTTCAAGGTGGAGGGTAGATGCGACGAGATAGAGGATGGAGTGGAGAAAGATCGTGAGAGTGTGTTAAATAGAGAGAAAGAGAGAGAGATGAAAAAAAGTGCATAACGAGTTTTCCGACTTAATCGACACGGATTGCGGGTCATGAGAAATGTTCCTTGCATTATTATGCAACATATCGTTAGGCCGGAGATAACAAAAAGATTAATTTTAATTTGTATGGGATTGCGTGAATGCTCTTTTGCCGCTGGGGGTTGTATTTGCATTCTGTGATTAAAAGCAACCTGCATGTGAGTTTCGGTCGTTGTTCTTCCCTTAAAAGAATGAACGAAGGAAGAAGCGTGGAAGGGTGATGACTGCGTTGTGGATAAACTGGATTTTGTTGGATGTGATTTGTATATATATATATTTTTTGAAGATTTAGCAGTGAAAATACTGTGCTTGATGCAGCTGCTTCGTGATTTAATTAAAATGCTGGTTATTTATGCGTGTGTACGCGTACACGCATATGTATATATATGTATGTACGTGCGTAATTGGGTCGGTCCACGTCCACACACTTAGGGTAGGTTCGCATCAACTACAGTTTCATCCCCCTAGTATATTGCATACTTTACTACCAGCACCATTGAAATGGAGCGAGAGGTTCTAATGATTATCAGAGGGTTGTGTTGCTTACCTTCTTCTCGGTGAGCTTTTCGCATCGTCGCTGCTTGCAGATTTGATGGCTCTTGTCGTTCCTGCACGGGGCACAATCACCACAATTGTCTTTACGTTGACATCCGATGCATTCTCCGCATCGTTTCCGTTTTTTCTTGACTTGCTTATCGATGCCGCCGCCACCGAGATCGTCCACGTCCATAGAATTCGAACCGAGGGAATGATGTTTGAAACTCGCGGTACTAGAAACGGCGGCCACCTGGCCCGAATTTTCGTTGCCGATGTCCATGTTACTTGAAGCACCGTCACTTTCCGCGGAACTCTCTAGGCTGGAGGCCCGCATTTTTCGGCGCTCCTTCTTGCGATAGTCGCTCCTCGTAGGGGAACCCACCATCGATGCATTGATGCCGTTGAGTTTCTTGTCCAGACCATTGTAGAGACCGGAGTTGTCTATGATAGTGGACATTGGATTTTGGAATTGAGTTGGATGCAGGGTGACATTCTGAATTTTTATGTTGGGGTCTTGCAGACTGGCCAGTTTGAGGTCAGGTTCTGATTTGAGTACGGTGACCACTGTAGGTGAAGAAATATTTTGAATGATCGTACCATTCTGTGTGGGGAAGGTTGTCGGATGCGTGTACAGCTGGATATGCCTTTCGTCGAGGAATTGCTGCTGGATGGAGGGAATTTCGCGCGCCTGAATGGGGGCCGGGACCAGCGGATAGTTGCGGGCGTTCAGCGTGTGGAAGTTGGGGCCTAATGTGGTCAGGCTTGGACTAGATACGTGTGACACGGGGGACACAGGTGTTAGAGTTGTTAGGGTCGGTTCACTGGTGGTGACTGCTTCGTTGAAGGTTTGGAACTGCGATTGAAAAGAAGGTAGCTTCGAAACACCGTTTTGTGCAAAGGCATCGGCAAATGTTGTTACCGTTGTAGGCTGGCATTGTGAATCGACGGGCTTCGACTCCCACGGTCTGTATTGGGGCTGGGAGGCAATGATCGAGAGCCCGTTCTCAGGCCGATCCAGTAATCGCGTCTCGGTGTAATAGTCCCAATTGGAGATGTCCAAGAGTCGGGAATCCGTGAAGGACCCGAAACCAGCGCTGGCATCCATGTCAGCGGAGAAGGTGGAAAAAGGCGGAAGATTTGAGCCTGGAGGGTCAGAGCTCGACGTCGCGGGATACGACGGAGCCAGGGTATACCCAGAGCTCAGCGTCTCCGGGTCCTGGCTAAGAGTTTCACTCATGCTGTCATCGCACTCTCATATTGAGCAACTATACATTCACACACAATTAGAATAAAATGTAACTTATTGTCATTACAAGTGTATCCTGATTTTCTCTGAGATTCGTTTGCAACAGGAAGAATTAATCAGCCTTCTATTTGTACTTTACGGACTTTGTACTATTGGTGATAGCTTCGTATAAAAATAATGTTGTTGAAACTAATTAGTCTAATATAAAAATATCTGAAACAGAAAAGAGAAAATCCAATATCAAATATTAATTCTACAAACTCTAGACTACAATAACAAACAGGCAGCAGCAACATCAACATCAACGTAAACAAAAACAAAAATTGGCGAAGCTCGAAGATGCATAAAGCTAACGCATTATTGAAGGAAAACAGTACGCATTTCCTTTTCCCTATACCGGGTCACGGTCGTTATAACGCGTGCGCTCGTGTCCTCCCCGGTCGATCATGAAGCCTGATTCACCACTAAGCTCTGGTGGCCAATAACAAAGCTAAAGTTCAAATCCTTCAATATATTTATTCATCTTTCATTCATTAAAATATCGCAATAATCAATCACATACCGTTCGTGTTGTAAACAACAACAATGTTCTTGTTATTGTTTTTATTTTTTTAGTTAAATCCTTCCATTCATGCACATTCATACACACATGCACATCGCTTTATAAACAAATCGGACGTAAATATCGGGTGTTAAACATTGCAAATTTGCGCGTAAATGTTGCTGCCGAAGCTTTCTATCCAAGGTACACCTAACGTTAATTCTAATTCTCTAAGTTATACTTTGATGTATTTAAGTGATGTCACTTCGTTCTTAGCGAATGTAAGTTAGTTGTAAATATAAGGGCTCACTAACCATGTGAAAATTTAAAACGCCAGCACGCACACCACTAAACACGCACGTACTGAAAGGACGACTGACGCTACGCACACACATAGTATGCAGCTTTCGAGTTCGCGCTTCACATCTGCCACACTTTGCACCAATCAGAGAAATGCATTAGAGCTTTCGGTTGCAATCGTCTCCCTCCGGAGCGCCCGTGCGATACTTTTCACAAATTCCATGTTGTTTTATTAGAATGTTTTCTTCTCCTATTCTTCGTGTCTCTTATGTGTGCGCTTTTATTATATATACTTCTTTATTATTTTTTTTTCATCTGCACTCATTTTATTCGCCATCATATTTCGCTTCCTTTTTCGCTTCTTTTATTTCTCCCCGTATCGAATTAAAAACACCACCGCGTTGAACTTATATGACCTTTCGATAACCGGAAAACAATCAGTCGACGGAGCTTTTTCAACCCTAAAACAAAAATCAGCAAATTTCTTATATATTTCATTAATAAATTATATTTTCTACATTATTTTCATCATTATAAAATTTACAATAACAATAAGAACGTAAAAATAACGAGAATATCATCGGAAACTCTATTTAAACGCGCTCAATTTTCTAAATAATTTTATAATCATAATATATTTATTATAATGCTATTTCTTTAAGAGATATTTTCTAGATGAGTAATTTGTTGATTATTACTTGCAATAAAGCTTTTACCACCATTAATCGTCTTTTGATTAAATAATTTAATCAAAGCCAAAATAATATTCAACCAATATTATTTTTTTTACAAATATAAATTAATAAATATTAAAAGTGATGAAATTAAACAATTAGTAATTTGTTTAATAGTATATTTATCCAAAATTTATCATTTAATCCGTCTCAAAGAAACTTCACAGCAGAATACTTTAATTTCTATATAATAATTTGTAAAGATGATAAAAATCAAAAACGAATATATTTATTGATGTTATATGATTTTAATAGTTATGAACTCAAATAATTACTATTGAATTCTTTAAATTAAATTGCATGATAAGAAATATTAAACTTTTTACTAAACAAAATAAATATTTTAAATATTTTTTTAATTCATTATTGTATTATTATTATTTAACATATTTATTTGTAAAAATTATGAATAAAATGGCTATCCGCCTTATTATTGTAATTTTACAGAAAAAATAACAATTTTTTACTTTTATTCTTAATTTAATAAATTAAAAATAAGTTTGTTTTTCAATTTTAATATATTATTTATATTTGCTTGTGCTTTCGCATATTATTAATTCTATCTTATA